GAATTTTAATAAACTAAACGTTCACCAAAAAACTTTAGTGAGAAAAATGAACGTTTAGTTTAGTTTAGTTAAAATTCAAAATAAGTTTATTTTGAATTTTAACTAAACTAAACTAAACGTTCACCAAAAAACTTTAGTGAGAAAAATCAAAAAAACGGACTACAAACATATTAACGCCAAACATTCAGTAGAATTTATAGAATATTGTAAATATATATATATATATATATATATATATATATAATTATTGTTTAATTAAATTAATCAACGTTTATTTTATTTTTATTCTCATTAATTCTCGATGTTTTTTAATTCTTATGTGGTTATTATACCAATATTTTAATAAAAAGACAAAAACTTAACTACATTATATTTTTTGAATCCAGCGCTATCATTTAACAGATATCACAAAAAACTATATAGAATGATAGTATTAGTCTGCATTTTTTTAAGCTTTAGAAACTGAAAAAATCACGAAACATACAAAAAATGCAATCAAACAATTAACAGGTTTGGTTCAGCATTCAAATTTTATATTGTTCACATTTAGATTATTATCCACAAGTTTAAACAAACATTAAAAACTATTTGAAAATATTTGATAAAACGTTTGCTAAAAAGTTACATTTTCAACCTAATATATTTATTATACGAATAGACAATGATTATAAACTCAATGTCAGCCATTCTTCCTCCCTGCTCACACATTACGTTTCACCATCATTCTGCAGTGAGTAACAGGGGAGAAAGCGTAATCGAGCGATGATCCATAGAAATTATTCAAACGCTGATAGTAACAATGATTGTACCAATTCCCAGATAAGTTATCCAAAGCACAGTGGAAAGTTTCGTGGAGATCGTTATCTTGGTCAGGAGTGGAAAAATTCATTCCATTTTGAACGAGAATTGGATTTGGACTGTTCAGTACATCGCACTTATCTCCTCTATATCCAGAAACGTTGAGAGAATATTTTTCAAATTCCGTGCCTACCTGCAATATTTGCTTCTCGTTCAAAGTGTGTTGACATATTTTAAATTTTTAGTTTTAGAAAATTGGTTCTAAGGGTTCAATGGATATCATGAAATTATCTATAAAGTTCATTATTACAAGTAATCGTCAAAATTTAAACATTAAATATTAAAAACCAACAAACCTTGAAATGATCATATTCATCGGAGTACCAAACACCCCTTATGAGAACTTCAAATCTCAACCTGTAATCAGCCGATGCCGTCAATTGGTGCATCTTCTCCAGACCCAACCAGAAATTTTTATCGTAAGTACCGAACCCTGACTGAAATATTTTATGTTTATAACAATTTAATCACAATAATTAGTTTTTAAAGTTTACTTTGTACTTAGCCCAATTTTGATTGAAACTCTGCGAGCCATCAATCCTCTGCTGAATGACTATCCATCCATTGACAGACGTAACAGGAGTTGAGTTAGCAAACGTTGGAATGCTCAACAAAATTGATTGATTAAAAGAGCTGTAACCTAATTACATCAAATTCATTCGTATGTTCAAAATATTTTATAATCAGTGGAATGAAACTGTTTTTAGTATTAATAACATTGGAGTTCTACAACGTGGACATAAAGTTGAAAACAGACGCACAGAAACCCCAAAAGAGGCATGGGTCCATGAAGCGAGCGGGGCCGACGCAAATGTCAGTGCCGCCCAACTGCAAACAATGTTTGTCAAAATAAATTACTCCCGTCGTTAATAAATGCCTTAGTTATTTAAAATTATAAAAATAAATCAATAATAATCACCACATATTAATTATATAAACATAAAAACATTGGTATTCAAAATTTTTGTAAATTAGACGAGCGTGCCGTATCACGCAGACAAAATAGCTAAAATCTGTAAATTCAACCATTCAAAAAAACTGAGACCGATTTGTCTGAAAAAATAGTTGATAGAAAAAAGCTTTGAACAAAATCCACAAAGTGAGCCAAATAAGAAGTTATCTGAACGTTGCCCTAGAAATTATTGCGTCATTACACGCATTTTTACAATGTAAACCATCACCTTCCCTATATCTCCCATGCACAAATTATAATTGTTGCGTGACATCATTGCTCCTATTGCATCCAGTAGGTAAAGTGTACAATGGGACAATAGGAAAGATACGATAGAGCGGTTTCAGTTTATAATTCCACGTATAACTAAATTACTCTCAATCTAAACTATTATTTTGTATAAGAATATTTTATTCAAGTACTTAATGAAAATAAATTAGTTGTCAAATTTACAATTAAAATTAAATTTCTACTAAGCAAACGAGTTTAATTTACACAAATACATTAAGTTCCACTAATGTTTTTCAAGAAGAGCGATTCAACGTCTCACAGGCATTTCTTACGTTTATTTCATGATTTTTAAATTAAAACCAGCAGCAGTCAGTCACACAAAAAGATAAGACAAATAGATTTAGAAAAGTACTTTGGGTTGAAACGCAACATTTTTTCAAAAGGTTCAATCAATCCATATTAACAAGATATCTAGATTATACTTTTTGTTTATAATTTATGAATATTTTTTGTACAAATTTCAATTTTGATCGAAATTTATTTTGGCTGCCGCATGCATTGCCCCTTTCTAGCAAAGGTTAGGTGGCTCTGACAGGCGCTCAACCAGGTAACCCAATCTATGTGCCTGGAGTCCAAACGTTGTCAATAAAGTTGGGCTTAACTGTAAGTTATTGAAACAAAGTTTAAAACTTAAAATTGACAATTTGTACAAACCTTGAAGATCAAGACAGATGGACAACTGCCTTTTACCAGTGAGACACATGTAGAGATCACAAGGATTGTTGATGCCAGGTAGTGAGTTGGAACAAGAGTAGAACAATCCACCGTTGAGGGTGAATGGGAAGTTGCAGGATTTGCTCACGATCAAATTGATATTGTTTGCTTTAGCGAAAATGTTTTTCAATGAATTGAATCAAAAGATACAAATTATCCCTAAAGTTTTTGAACAAACCCATCAACTCATATTTGGAAATCAAAAAAGAAGAATAACTTACGAATTGGTGGTTTTGCAAGATCCTTGGCAGCTGTAAAAAAATCATAATAAATAAATGAATAAATTAATATTGAATTTAATTGAACGGATGCTCAACATCGAATCCAACCAACCCACCTAGAGCTCGTTGGACCGCATCATCCTGCTGGTGCAACTCGATGTTTTAGCCGACAGTTGAAAAATTAAAAAGTTAAAACTAAATGCATGAAAATTTTTTAATAAGTTTTAATTTTATTCTTAAAATAAAAATGCTACTAGCCTTGTAACTTCGGCAATTAATTCTACTCAAAACAATCTTATAATGAACATCGCAAGTGAAATGAAACAGTTGGCAATATCTAGCTGGCTGACTAGCGTTGTTGGATATGTAGTTGAATGCGTTGCAAGTGATGTTACCATTAGTGGGAAAAACATAATGAGAACATTTGGCAGAACATTCCAGTAAGGATTGTATGTTGGTTAGTACTGCGGTAGGTTCGGAAGCAAAACACATGGGATTGTCTGGCTCTCCTACCATTCCATACTTCTTCTCAACTGTTGCTAAAGCCAACGAGCAAACCGATGATGAGAATAAAATGATTATCATTAAAGTAACTGTAAACCATATTTTTGGTTATTCTAGAAACAAATTCGGTGTATGCAATGTAATTCTCATTGCAACGACAATTCTTAATATACTTTATTTTCATATACACCATACCGAATTTTACATTCAACAACGTCCTATGTATATCATTACTGAAGGGAAGAATGAGGCATTCATCACATTCATACAAAATATTCATAGCAACAACATTCATACAAAATATTCATAGCAACAAGCAGTCTTTAATTTGCCAGTTTTTAATTAGAGCAGTCCGAATTTGAACGTGCTTCGAGTCTAGTACATGTTCATAAAAATAATTCGTTTGATGCGTACACAGTGGGTATAATATATATATATATATATATATATATATATATATATATATATATATATATATATATATATATGTAGAGTTTATATAGCGCTCGTTCAAGTTCTCACAAACGCTTTATCCCACAAGTGCGCTTTGATTCTTTTTCTAAAAATCACTTCATCAATCTCATTTGTTTTCAGCTCTGTTGGCAAATCATTCCACATCCTTGGGCCATACACTGCAAAACTTCTTGACGCCATTGATGAGTTTACCAACGGTTTCTGAAAATCATTGTTTTTGGAAGATCTTAAGAATCTACCCGCCACTATTATTGGTGTTTTTTTGCACAGATCCATTAGATATTTCGGAGCCGAACCTTGCATACATCGTTTCATCATCACCAAAACTTTGAAAACGATTCTGCTTTCAATTGGTAGCCAATGTAATTCACGAAAAATTGGGGTCACATGGTCATATTTTTTTCCTTGTACTATAAACTTCGCTGCCCTGTTTTGTATTGATTTTATCCCATATATTGTTGACTTCGGACATCCGCTCAGCAAACTGTTGCAATAATCAACCCGACTGACCACAAACGCATGGATCAGAGATTTTGTTGTATCCAGATCAAGAGAGGCTCTTATGCGGCCAAGCTGTCGAAGCTGAAATGAACAGTCCCTAACGAGGTTATTCACATGCTGATGCATATTCAGTGTACTGTCCAACCAGAAACCCAAATTTTTTACCACACCAGTGAACGGCACCATCACAGACCCAAATCTTATGCTCTTTACATCAGTTTTCGAGAGCTGTTGTTTAGTTCCAATCAACATTACCTGTGTTTTTTCATCATTTAATTTTAGTCTGTACGAACCCAACCAATTCTTTAGGCACATTATTTTCTCTGAGACAAGTTCAACCATTTCCCCCACCGACCCCATCCCAGCGCTGCTGATGATCTGTATGTCATCTGCATATGCGTACACGCGCAGATCAGTATGTTTCAACAATTTCGCTACTCCTGAAGTGTACAGGAGAAAAAGGAGTGGGCCTAACACTGAGCCCTGAGGAACTCCGTTCTTTATTTCCATGACTGTTGATGCTTGTACCCCGTAGACCACTTCATACGTTCTCTCGCAAACAAATGATGACAACCAACCAAGTACCTTGCCTTTCAAACCAAATTGATTTTTCAAAACCAAATGCAGCACGTCATGATTGACACAGTCGAAAGCTGCACTCATATCCAAAAGTGCCAAGAGAGAAACCCTTTTCTTGTCAACAGCTTCGTACGCATCTACCAACAGACGAGTTAGTGCTGTTTCAGTCGAATGATGTCTTCTGTAGGCAGATTGTGCATACGGCATCAGGTTCTGTTTGTCTAAATGCTGCACCAGCCGTCGTACTACCACTCTTTCGATTAACTTAGACAAGAAAGTTAATTTTGAAACTGGTCTATAATTGCCCGGATCAGACACATCTGACTGGGGTTTTTTCAACAGCGGCGTGACAATTGCATGCTTGGCTATCTTTGGTAAAATTCCGTCTCTCAAAGATGCATTGACCATGACAGTTATGAAGGGTAGAAGAACATCCAAAAACTCCTTGAGAATGTATGTTGGGACAGGATCACCTGAGCATGTCGTTGACGGTGATTGCGTTATTATTTTGTGAACCTCTTCTTCTGTGCAAGGTTCAAAATTATCCAATACTCCAACAGACAACTCTTCAATTTCAGGAAAATCATAATGTTGAGTCACCCTCATTACTCTATCAACTTTGTCTTCAAAATGTTTGATAAAATCGTCAGATGAAAGTTCTGTCTTTTTTGACTCTGACATCTTTACATTTTTATGCATCATCTTGTTCACATGACGCCAAAGTTGAGAAGGATTTTTTTTGCAAGATGCTATCTGATTTCGCCAATAACTATTTTTCTTGTCTATCAGCAACACTTTCCTGTCCTTCAGGGCATCATACCAATTTTTCCGATCATCATCATTCTTTGTTTTGCGATATTTCTTTTCCAGCTTCCTACACCATCGTCTAGACCGAATGCACTCGTCATCAAACCAAGGGGTAACTGGACAAAATTTACAGTTAACCTTCTTAATTGGTGCATATTCATCTGCCAACCGTCGTAACTCCGTCACATAGCAATTCATCAGATCCCCAGCGCAAGCATCATCAGATGGTCGTACAGCCAGTAATGTTGACATCAAAGAACCTCGAAATGCCACTTTGTCATACTTCTTCCAACATCGTACGAGTTTAGTTACCATTTTTGGTTTAACCTTTTGCATGGGCAACAAACACGTTATAAGGGCATGGTCCGAAAATTCTCCTGGTGTTCCCACGGTGACATCAGTAATCTCGTAACTTGATGTAGCAGCCACAAAATCTAATGTTCCATTTTTGACGTGAGTTAGACCATGCACAAACCTGATCATATCAAATGTTGCAAAGAAATCTTCCATCCGCCTCGCATTTAAATCATCAGCGTCCTCTAGATGAATATTAAAATCACCAGCTATCAACAACGGAACGTTATTCACAATCAGTCCCTCAACCACATGACTCAGTTCGTCAAAGAACAGCTTGTCAGCACCTTTTGAGCCCGGACGATATATCGCCATCAGAATGACTGGTGTATTTGCCATCGAGATCTGGACGCATAAACACTCAAACGATGTTAGTTTGGGAATATCCAACCGCCTGAGGGAGTACACATCCTTAACCATAACAATCAAACCACCATGAGCTGGATCAAATTCCCTGACGGCATCAACGTACTCATAGCCTGGTGGCAAAGCAGATTTTACCGAATCATCATTTGACGCTCTGTGCCATGTTTCTTTAAGCACCATAACATCAATTTTGTTATGCAACAAGGCATCATAGATTACCACTGACTTGTTTGACAACGACCTCACATTGAGCAAACCAAGTTTCATCATGGTATTATCTCTATTTCTATCAACATCATCGTCTTCTGTAGAAAATTTTTTAACTTTAAGCAATAGCTGTTTGTTACCAGATTATTTCTTGGAAACATTTTCTTCCTAGGATTCCAGAGTTTTAACGAGAAAAGTTTTTTACGTATCCTTCTATTAGGTTTCAGGTTATTATTGAGCTGCAGCAATTGTTCAACAGTGTACGTTAATTTATTTACATCCATATTGATCAGTATAGTTTATTAAAATCAGTCTGTTTAAAACTTTAATTCAGATCAACAACTTACAATTTAAAAACTATGACTATTGAGATAAATTAAAATTAGTTTAGAATTATTTTAGAATTATTAGTTTAGAATTATTTAGGAGCTATATAAACTAATTTTCCAATCAAACTCAACTTTTAACCAAAAATGTATTACTACACTGAGAGCCTGTTACACTTGCTCATTAACATAATTGACTCCGCCTACAAAATGTCCACTTAAACAATAAACCTTTAAAACTCCCAAAAACAGTTTAACGCAAGACCAAATTTAGGTTTACAACTGACTAATCACTATAATAACTAACTCCCGTAATGATTTCCACAATTTTCATAACAAATTTTATTATCATTTATTTATTGTTTATTTATTATTATTATTTTCTTTTTTCGAATAGAAAATTTTTGATGTACGTCTTATGGAAGCGATGATAGAGTTGTAAGGTGAGAAAATTTAATTAATGAACTAAGAGTTGAAATTCGAACTAAGAGTCCGTGTATGTATGTATTCATGGGCGCATGTGTGTAAGTGCGTGTGCATGTATACGTGCCTGTATATGTGTTTGTGTGTGTGTGTGTGTGTTCGTATGGTCGTTGATTCCATGTTAACAGTAACTCAAACAGTAATTCAAACTGGCTGTAGCTGGCTGCCTTTCTTCGCGAGGTACATACAAACGCGGGCTTGCCAGAGCTCGTGATTTAAAAAAAGCAAACCCACGCCCTCTCGATTGACGTCACATAAATTTTGATCCGTTCTGTGCTACTTCGTTTATTGATTTAATCTATTTAATAAGACTATTTTAAATCTATTCAATTTAAAAAATTAAAAATTTTCAGTACCCTTAAAATCGTTGGAGTAAAATTTAGATTCTGCTAGAAAAAAATTTCACAAGCGAGGAAGGAATTTTAAAAAGTAATTAGATAAGATAATGAAATACTTTTTGAAATGTTATTAAATATAGCGACGAAACATTGAAGAGTAACATCAAAAAAGTATTTCATTACTTCTTAAAAAGTACCAGCAAATCGCTGTACGCGATGTAGGTACATCACGTGATAAAATCAACAGCAACAGCAACGACTAACAGCAACAACAAATAACAACAACAGCAACGGCAACAAATAACAACAGTAACAACAACGACAAATAACATGACAACAAATAGCAACAGCAACAAATAACAACGACAAATAGCCACAACAACAACGCTTCATTCAAAACGTTGTTTTGAAATTGTATGAAAAAAATGTTTATTTTCACGGTGACGAGATGAATAATTTAGCAGGCTGAATGAGTGTGGAAATATGATAATTTTTAGTTTTTTTAGTACTTTTATATTTTTTTAGTAAATTTTTAGTACTTTTAGCTTTGGGTCTTTTGGTGAAAATTTTTTCAGGTCTTTGTGTTTTTTAAAACGTACAAAAATTTAATTTTCAAAATTTTTAAATTCCACTGATGAATTATTGAGCGCTAATTAAGTTTAAATTTACACTTTTTTTTATTAACGAGCTGGAATTAATTAGCGTTACTGGGGTTGGTCGGTTCATTGGTGTAATGGTTAAGGTGCCTGGCGCTACCGTTAAAGTTACGAGGTTCGACTGCAAAATAACTCCCTTATTTAAGTTGGTGTAAAGTAAATCATACACAGAGGACACTCAAACACATTCACACATATACACTCACACACATTCACAAATATACACTCACACACATTCACACATATACACTCACACACATTCACGCATATATACTCACACACATTCACGCATATACACCCACACACATATACACTCACACACATTTACACTCACACACATTTACACATATACACTCACAAACATTCAAACACGCTTCATCAATACTGTATACGATTCCGTATGTGTTTATTTGCTTATTGTCATTTCATATTTTCACAATGGCCGGATTAATTATTTTTCCATCATATTACAACAAAATAAAAAAGTTTCCATCTCAGTTAATAATTTTATTGAATGAAAAAATTCTAATTATAAAACTTTATAGCGATAAAATTTAGTCTTAGACTGTTTTAGACGCAAAACACCATACAATAATGACGGATCTAAAAATATATGAGATTCATATTCGACAATGTTTGCAACAATGAAAGTTAAAACTAAGAAATTATATAGCAATATTTAAAAATGTTTCAATCTAATGAACGTTCATGAAAGCATACAAAACACGTTAAAATCTAATTAAACTTGTAAACTAGAGTAATCTGTTCATTTATTTTTAATTATCAAAAAAGTAATGCACTTGTAAGTTACGTAAGAATATTCATGAAATGTCTTACATTCATTCAGTTTATTTGAGCTACAGAGTGCGATGATCTGATTATAGCAAATTGTCTGAACTTTACTTTTCACTATCATCCAATTCCAACAATCAGAATGTAGCCAAGTATATTCTCGTTTTATTTAAGTTTTAAAAGAGAAAAATATCAAAAATTTGCCCTAATCAGATTTTTAAATTAGTGTAATGTTTTGAGAAAATTTCATCCAATGATGTTAAATAGCAAACTTTGAAAACAGTAAAACATCTCACGATGCAAAAGTTTCACGTGTCGACAAAAGCATGATTTATATGAAAAATTACAAAGTGATTGTGTCTAACAGATAGGTAAAGATTTCTGTTGCAAAAGCATGCGTGAACTATTTAAAATAATTTAAATAACCTAAGAAAACTGAATATATGATAGGAATGACCATTACAAATCGTTATATAAATCATTAATAATCCCTACACGTTATGCTTCATCATCATCCTGCAGTATGTCAGGGAAGAATTTGCATATTTGAAACAAAATGAAGAATTATACTGACCGTTCACATTTTGATAAAAGCAGGAGTTGAACCAATTCCCTGAGGACAGCATCGAAGCGCAATTACTGTTGACCGAAAGGTCGTTATCCTGGTCAGGAGTTGAGAATCTCATACCATTCTGGACATTAACGGAAGATGGACTGTTCAACACATCTGTCTTATCTCCACTGTATCCAGATACGTTAATGGAGTATTTTTCAACTTCTGAATTGATCTGCAGTTGTTTCAAAGGTATTTAATTATGAATAATGAAAGAAAATGTAAAGTGTGAAAGTTAAAAGTTAGGTTTTAGATATTTTCATCATTTGAAAATTATAAAATTATTTACGGTTAATTTTTTCAAATTAGAAAAAACAATGAAAATAAAACTTCCGTTTTAACTTTTGTTTAATGAACAATTTTAGTTTCTCATTTAATTTTAAAACATATATTTTGCAACTTAACCCCTAACCCTAACCTTGAAATGATCATATTCATCAGAGTACCAAACACCGTTGATGAGAACTTCAAATCTCAACCTGTAATCACCCCATGTTGTTATTTGGTGAATCTTCTCCAGGCCCAACCAGAAGTTTTTGTCGTAGGATCCAAAGCCTGCCTGCGAAGTAATATGAATTAGTATAAAAACTCAATTTTCATAACTATTTTTAGGAATGTACTTTGTATGTATCCCAAGTTTGATCGAAACTCTGCGAGCCATCAATCCTCTGCTGAATGACAATCCAATCATTAACACACGTGATAGGAATTAAATCAGCAAACGTTGTAAAGTTAAACAGATAGGTTTGGTTGACGACGGTGCGAGCTGTTGTGTTGTGCATTGCAACTAAAGTTTATTTCTAAAAATTACAAAAATAATTTTTAAACATTTTCTCACACTTGGTTGAACATGTTGATGTATATTTAACTATCATTAAATCCATTGTAAGAAACCTTGAGGATCAAGGCAGACGGACAACTGCCTGTTAGTAATGAGACACATGTAGAGAGCGCAAGGATTGTCGATGCCAGGTAGTGAGTTGGAACAAGAGTAGAACAATCCACCGTTGAAGGTGAATGGGAAGTTGCAAGATTTGCTCACGGTCAAGGTGTAATCAGGAACTTTAAAAAAAAAATTGATAGAATTTCTAAGAAAAAAATTAACTTTTGGATTTATTCAGTTGGCAATCTCCTAATTTTTCAAAAGCTTACCACTATTCTTCGATAATATTGAAAATATGTATCTTAATTCTAATTCTCACAAAAATATATTTTGAAACTGACAAAATTCAAAAAAGGACCAATAAGTTATTTATCTATTTATCAACTTATTAATGTGAGAAACATTCAACTAACATAATGCTTGCACGACCGTAATGTCCTGTAATGAAAATGCAATTCATTTCAATTTAATTGATATCAATATTACCGACAAGCAAACACTTTTTTAAAACTTTTCATTAAAACTTTGCAAACTTACCACAAAAGTTTTACAGTCAGTTCTACTCAGGACATTCTCGAACTTAGTGTGACCAGTGAAATGAAACAATTGGCAATATTTAGCTGGATGATTAGCATCGTTGGACACGTAGTTGAATGCGTTGCAAGTGACATCAGTAGAAGAAAAATAATGAGAACATTTGGTAGAACATTCCAGTAAGGATCGTATGTTGGTTAGTACTGTGATAGGATCGGAAACAAAACACATGAGGTTGTTTGGCTCTCCTATCCTACGATACTTCTTATCAACTTCAGCGGCTACAGAGTTAACCAAAAAAGACAACAAAACTGTTAGGTAAAACATTTTAAGAATAAACATTTTGGACTAAATTTCTGCTAAAACTTGATCAAAAGAATTATTTTCAAAAGCTTTCCACTTCCTGGAACTCAGCTCATCTAGCTGCGGCTGCAATTATTTATCATCCTTCCAGTTAACGACGACTAAACACTTAACGTAGCCATAGTGAAATCGATCTGTTTGAAACATCAGCTAAGCTTACATGTATCAAACTAAGAGTTAGTATATTTATTAGCGTCACTAGATTGTTACGTAGAAATACTTCTACGTTGTATAAAAATACACTCACATGCGTTGGAAATAATGAATACATCTAAAACACAATGAGCCAACGCATTAAGAAGAGTTTTCACGCTTTCATGTTACAAACTTTTAAATTTTGTTCGATTCAAATGTTTAAATAATTGCTTCTATTTATTCAGAATTGAATTTTATAAATCAATATCATTTAAACGATGAATTCATAAACTTTCTCTACTTTCATTACATACTAAACAGGCTCTCGTGCATTTTTTATGCTGTTCTATAGTTGATAGTAGTAGTATGCTACCTATTATGATTATATTTTAATCATAATTAAATTATAATTATAGAAATAATTTAAATATAATGTATAACGTGTGGTAGCGTCATTGTTAGTTGAACTATCAAAGTCTACCAATAATGCAGTTACAATGACAACAACAGAAACAACTACAGCAACAATAATAATAATAACAATAATTGAGCAATTCATAAAGTGCAAAAATTCATTGATAACAAAATTCACCTGGCGACAGATAAATTTAATTTAGTTGATTTCAAAACATTTAAAATACATTTGTGTATTAATATTTCAATGGTCTTTTGTCCTTATGTTTGTAACTTTTATTCAAATTCAGTTTTCAAAATTGGATAAAGGTAATAAAAACATCAAATAATATTAACATTAGTTTTTAATATCATTTATTTATTTATTCCTTCATTTGTTTATTCGTTCGTTCATTCATTCATTAACTCATTAATTCATTTTTTTATTCAGTAATTTATTCATTTGTCTGCATTTAATTTATATATATATATATATATATATATATATATATATATATATATATATATATCTGTGTGTGTGTGTGTGTGTGTGTGTGTGTGAACTTTGTCAATCGGGATTAGCGAATCGGGAATCAACATGGAGTGCTGATGAAAATTTTTAATTATAACTGGCCTATATAAATTTTAACAACAATAATAATAACAACATATATATATATATATATATATATATATATATATATATATATATATATATGTGATAAAAATAAATGAATAAATAGATAAATAAGATTAAAAATATATTTAATTTTCAAATATTTAGAAATACGGTTTTAAACGAATCGATGCCACAAATTATTGCCACTTGGACAACTTGAAATCTATTTCAGTCAATCAAAATGTCTTATACTTGAAATATATTTCAGCCAAGCAATATTTTAAATCTATTTCAGTCAATCAAGATGTCTTGTTAATATGGTTCTACATACACGCACACATATTTAATTATTTATATTTTTGTATTTATAATATTATAAATTTATATTTATAATATCAGCTAACATTTTTTTATATATGCCCATGCATTTACTAGTTTTACCTTACTAATTTGTGATTGCCATGTTCAGATCGTTCGTTATTTTTGCGGCTTTTGTTACTCTGGTTCTATCAGGTATATATATATATATATATATACTTATTTCAAAAATGGTTTTACAGAAATAATGACTTTTTCATTGGGGAGTTTCATTTATTCATTTATTATTAGGGAGTTTATATTGATTTATATTTTATTTATTGTTTCCTATAAATGTTTCAAAATGTCCGTTTAATATATATATGCACTAATTAATGAAGTTCTGACCGTGATATCAGTAAATATTTAATTTAATTAATTATATTAAGTTCATTCCACTTTTACAACTTTATAACAATTCTTTCTTTCAATAGCCTTCCAATTTTTATACTTTATCCAGAGATTCTGCTAGAAAAACAGAGAGAAGTTGGCGACAATGAGCCTGTGCTTGTAGGAGAGAAAAGTGGAAATCTGGAAGATCTGACGGTTGCCAAAAAAGACGTGTACCTTGGTTTGACTATTAACGACGCCAGTGTTTCTGTTGGTTCCGACAGCTATGTCGAATAAGATGAAGATTCGGAAAATGGTAATGAGACTTCGGCAACTAATGGTGAAAATCTTAATGATAATGTAGCAAGTGGTAGCGCTAATTCGGCACCTAACGTTGGAGGAAGTCCTAATGGTTCAATCCTTTCCAATAATTAGATTCCTGTTCCAGTCTAAAAAGATATTTTTGATTTCGCAAATAGTCCGACTCTTTCAAAATGTCAATCGAAATTAATAAAACAGATGAAAACCTTTAAATTAATTAATTAATTAATTAATTAAATATTTAACAATTATTTCCTTTTCAGAAATTGATATAACCATTTACTTTATCGGACAATACAATTTTTTAGCAGGCTTATTTTGGTGTTGGTGTTTTCGTTTAACAAAACAATAAAACCAAAAAACTGCCCTCCTTCAGACCAGTGACGACCGGAAGGAAGTAAAAATTAGTAGTTGCTCCATTCGGGTACACGGTGTTTTGTGTGTGTGTGTGTATTTGTGTGTGTATGTGTGTTATAGTGTGTCAAATGCGCTTGTGAGAGTCGTGTATGTGAAAAGTTCTATTAAATGCAATAAATAATATTTGATAAGAAAACCAAAAACGAAAAACAAAAAGAGTGTCCAAGTAACTACAATGATATTGCAGTGAAATGAACAATAATTACTCCGCGCTCGTTGTTGACGACTAGTGCATGGATGTAGGAAATTCAGTATTTCCATCACAATAAGTTGGTCTACCATTAGATATGACGAGCAATTTGTAAGCAGGCAGTGTTTAAACAAAAGAACATTTGAAACGAAAAAACAATAAAGGACAAGCAAAAGGAAAATTCAATTTGTTAGAATTAGCATTACTATTATAAAGCATGGATGTACTTATGCATGTGCTTATGTATGTGCAGTGGTCCTCCCCGTTGGGTATTATTATCATGTGAATCCACAAGTGTTATTAAAAGTCAGTAAAATGAGTTTTTAACGGGAATATTATTTTTAGTTTTGAGACACGAATCATTAACAGCCAACCATATTTCAATTGTTTTAGGGAGATTGGCGCTGATATAGTGAATTAAGCTGGAAGGGTTTAATTAAATTCATATACAAAACCTGACGTCCTAAATATATATTTCTAAACAAAAAGTGATTGCGGAACTCTCAAATTCAACCCTATAGAGCGGCCGCGACTTACTATATACCATTGATGTCATTTATTAGACACCATATAAGACCTTCCGCTGAGTTTCACTGACAACCCGATACTTTCCCCACTGACGTTAAGCCAGACCAAGTCTCGTAAGCCCGACGCAAAATTGAGAAATACTTACTGGCGTTGACACCTGCCTGGACTCTCAATGACCCACGCTGGCCAACCTCTATAGTTAACAGAAAATACTGAACCATACGGCCGAACAAGTAAAAACAGAACAAACGCGTTACTGAACGACTATAATTTTAATGTTTCAAATAAGTGTTAATATAAAATCAGTTGCAAAAGTGTTTTACGATTTTTTGGTATTTTTAAAATGCAGAATTTGACAAAAATGTTCAACAAATTGTTACGTCATTTTTACAATTTTTGTTAAAACTTTCTATTCACCACCGCGCAGTCTTAAGACAAGGTGAAGAGTTGATTCCTTCTGGATGTTGTAATCACTGAGGGTTCTGCCATCTTCCAACTGCTTGCCAGCAAAAATCAGACGCTGTTGATCTGGTGGAATACCTTCTTTGTCCTGGATTTTCGCCTTCACATTGTCAATGGTGTCACTGGGTTCAACTTCCAAAGTGATCGTTTTTCCAGTCAAGGTCTTGACAAAAATCTGCATACCACCACGCAATCTGAGAACCAAGTGAAGGGTTGATTCTTTTTGGATGTTGTAATCACTGAGTGTTCTACCATCTTCTAACTGTTTACCAGCAAAAATCAAACGTTGCTGATCAGGAGGAATGCCTTCTTTATCCTGGATTTTTGCCTTCACATTGTCAATGGTGTCGCTTGGTTCAACTTCTAGTGTAATAGTCTTCCCAGTCAAGGTTTTGACAAAAATCTGCATGCCACCACGCAATCTGAGAACCAAGTGAAGGGTTGATTCCTTTTGGATGTTGTAATCACTGAGGGTTCTACCATCTTCTAACTGCTTGCCAGCAAAAATCAGACGTTGCTGATCAGGAGGAATGCCTTCTTTATCCTGGATTTTTGCCTTCACATTGTCGATAGTGTCGCTTGGTTCAACTTCTAGTGTAATAGTCTTCCCAGTCAAGGTTTTGACAAAAATCTGCATACCACCACGCAATCTGAGAACCAAGTGAAGGGTTGATTCCTTTTGGATGTTGTAATCACTGAGGGTTCTACCATCTTCCAACTGCTTGCCAGCAAAAATCAAACGTTGCTGATCAGGAGGAATGCCTTCTTTATCCTGGATTTTTGCCTTCACATTGTCGATAGTGTCGCTTGGTTCAACTTCGAGTGTAATAGTCTTCCCTGTCAAGGTTTTGACAAAAATCTGCATACCACCACGCAATCTGAGAACCAAGTGAAGGGTTGATTCTTTCTGGATGTTGTAATCACTGAGTGTTCTACCATCTTCTAACTGTTTACCAGCAAAAATCAAACGTTGCTGATCTGGAGGAATACCTTCCTTATCTTGGATCTTGGCCTTGACATTATCAATGGTGTCACTGGGTTCAACTTCAAGTGTAATTGTTTTCCCAGTCAAAGTTTTGACAAAAATCTGCATACCACCTCGCAATCTGAGAACCAAATGAAGTGTTGATTCTTTCTGGATGTTGTAATCACTGAGGGTTCTACCATCTTCTAACTGCTTGCCAGCAAAAATCAGACGCTGTTGATCAGGAGGAATGCCTTCTTTATCCTGGATTTTTGCCTTCACATTGTCAATGGTGTCGCTTGGTTCAACTTCGAGTGTAATAGTCTTCCCTGTCAAGGTTTTGACAAAAATCTGCATGCCACCACGCAATCTGAGAACCAAGTGAAGGGTTGATTCCTTTTGGATGTTGTAATCACTGAGGGTTCTACCATCTTCTAACTGTTTACCAGCAAAAATCAGACGCTGTTGGTCTGGTGGAATACCCTCTTTATCTTGAATTTTTGCTTTGACATTATCTATGGTATCACTGGGTTCAACTTCGAGTGTGATTGTTTTGCCAGTCAAGGTTTTGACAAAAATTTGCATACCACCACGCAACCTGAGAACCAAGTGAAGTGTTGATTCCTTTTGGATGTTGTAGTCACTGAGGGTTCTGCCATCTTCCAATTGTTTGCCAGCAAAAATTAAACGTTGTTGATCTGGTGGAATACCTTCCTTATCTTGGATTTTGGCTTTCACATTGTCTATAGTGTCACTTGGCTCTACTTCCAATGTAATTGTCTTCCCAGTAAGTGTTTTGACGAAAATCTGCATGCCACCACGCAGTCTGAGAACCAAATGAAGTGTTGACTCCTTCTGAATATTGTAATCACTCAATGTTCTACCATCCTCCAACTGCTTGCCAGCAAAAATCAGTCTTTGCTGATCTGGTGGAATACCTTCTTTATCTTGAATTTTTGCTTTGACATTGTCAATGGTATCACTTGGTTCAACTTCCAGAGTAATTGTTTTGCCAGTCAATGTTTTAACAAAAATTTGCATACCACCACGTAATCTGAGAACCAAATGAAGTGTTGATTCCTTTTGGATGTTGTAATCACTAAGGGTTCTGCCATCCTCTAACTGTTTGCCAGCAAAAATCAAGCGTTGTTGATCTGGAGGAATACCTTCCTTATCTTGGATCTTGGCCTTGACATTGTCAATAGTGTCACTGGGCTCAACTTCCAGTGTTATTGTTTTTCCGGTCAAGGTTTTTACGAAAATTTGCATACCCCCACGCAATCTGAGGACCAAATGAAGTGTAGATTCTTTCTGGATATTGTAGTCACTGAGGGTTCTGCCATCTTCCAGCTGCTTGCCAGCAAAAATTAAACGCTGTTGATCCGGGGGGATACCCTCTTTGTCTTGAATCTTGTTTTTCACATTCTCAATGGAATCACTCGGCTCCACCTCTAAGGTGATAGTCTTGCCGGTAAGCGTCTTTACGAAAATTTGCATCTCTGTGGGTGTGAGTTTTTCATAATTTTAAAACATGTACATTTGAAAAAGGTAATTACAGTAAAAAAAATGTATACATACGAGATTAAACAAACCAAACACCTGACGCCATTTTAGAATGTATGGCGTAAAACTAAATAAAAATCAATTTTGTTACGAAAACCAAAGATGTAATATTTAATTAAGAGACTTACTATAATCTTCTCTTTATAGCGACAGCAACTAAAAATTATTTGCTTTTACGTATTTTTGATCTCTTACGAAGAATAATTTGCGATAACTAAACTACACCCTGTTTCTTTCTCAACCTTTTATAGACAGTTTGTAAACCTACTAGAATAATAATTGCGTCATTAAAACTCATTCTCATTGGCTGATATATTTGGTTTTATCCGATACAACCAATCAGCTTGTGACATATTCAGTCTGAGCTACTGAATAATTTAAATAAAATACGGAGCCACAGCAGCAACACTTACAAAAATAATTTTATTATCATCTTTATGATTATGATATTCACTCGCTTATCGTCGAAAAACTATAAAAATAACATTAAATATTTTTAGCCATCTATTTTTTCGTATATCGTACATATCATTACTTATTTGAAACATTTAAACTCATTTGTGCGCACTTGAAAATAACTCGTGAAGTTGAATGTTTACAGGTTTGAATATGCGTGTTTTGCTACATGTACGTTACATCCAGGTTGAGTAGTGTTCTGATGTAATAGTTCTTTGTATCGAACTATTAATTTATTTATAGCTTTTTCGTGTCTTTATTCGTTTTTTGATGTCCTTTATTTGCCGGAAAATCGTTTCCTTTTTCCTATACGAGAAAAAATTCTATATGTTTTTAAGTGAGTTTGGGTGCCTTCAATTGTCGCATTGGTAAAGTCCGTTAGTCCGTTAATAGTTCAGGTATGTATGTGAAGCTCGTAAATCGAATGAGTCGTACTTTATTTTCATTGTTCAGTCTGATCATCGCAGAAGAATGTCTAAAAGTCGTATGGTTGAGTTTTCATCTCAATTGAAATAAGAAAATTTAAATTGAATCATACGATAAGTTATTGTGATGATGTGAGACAAAACATTTTTCGTCTGACAAATTTCCATTTCGCTTATTAATCATGGATATATATATATATATATATATATATATATATATATATATATATATCCATGTTATTAATGACAAATGTTTCAGGCTTGTAAAGAAAACGCAACGCTCGGTTAGATTCGCAATACATTTATAATGGTTTAATAAATTTAATAAGGTTTTAATGCATTCGGTCCATACATTCGTGGTCAGACCTGTGCTCGCCTTTTACATTCGCCAACATTTGTAAACTCTCCAAAAATTCCCAAGCCATGCGTTTTTATCATATTTTCAATGCATTTTTGCGCATATGAACTCAATATTCGTAGATAACAATGTATTTGAGACCGTTTCTTTTGATGTGTGTTTACTTATATGTGGCGTTGACATCTAACTTTTTCTTAAACTAAATCTGAGATGAATTGACGTCGTCAGTTATACCTAACTAACTTATTGTGCACAATTCATCGATGTTTTTTTTCTATAATCTTGATAACTTATTTTTCGTTGCCAAATACTTGTAATGTAAAACTGTTAGTATAGAAAAGAATTATTTAAAAACATTTTATTCTTTTTTATATCGATTTGTTATTTTGAAAATTCTTCGTGGTTAGCCGTCGTTGTCAAAGCCTCGAATAGCTACTGATTGCTGCTGCTGCTGCAAGCAGACGTGTTTGCATGCCTATTTGCAAGGCAGTATTTGTACAATGTATGTTAAGCCATTGTTTCCACAGACGTCCCATGCACGGCTTGCATGCGCTTGTAATTTTGTTTACAAATTTCTTACTTCGCGATGGTTTCCGTTCGGAATATGATTTAAAGGTTGTTTTTGCTTTTGATGGATGTGCGATAAAAACCTACACGGGTATCGTAGTAAATTTAAAAAACTGCAAAGAGTAAGGAATGCAATTTTGATACAACTTAATTAATATCATGTCGCTGGATCGCTTGGGCTACATTCGCAAAAAGGTTTGTAAGCCAAATGACAACAGACCAAAACTACTACCAAATTGTATTGTTTCGGAGATCACACCTACTAAGGAAGGACATCGGCAACGCCAACCACAGACATCATCGTTGAAAACAAACACGGATAGTTACCAAAAACCTGCAGAACCATACGAAGATGACGACCGACTCTCAGTAATGTCAAGCAGTTCAACTATGTCATCAACTACTGGCTCCCGCGTCAAATTCGATGGAACATTCTTTAACACGATAAGGCACAGAAAACCGCACGATTTCACAATTCACCCAGAATGGGTTTCCGAACGTCTTGTTACTCCTACGAACACGCCATCAGCCCGGAACAGTTTTGATCAAACTTGTTTGAACTTGGGGTTGAGGGTGACCCTGCTGAGAACTTCTGCGACGCTGCCTTTCATAAGACGCAGTTCCAGTGCTCCTCCTTCAGGTCGGAATCCAATTACATGGGAAAGCTGGTGGTCCTAGGAGAACTTATAGACTTATTAAACTGTTAAATAATGTTGTTCATATTTTTACTAATTTAGTATAAACATCTAAATGAAATAAGAGATTATTTTATTGCAAAAGTGTGTTCATGATATTGTAAATCTATTTTAATGTTATGCTAAGTATTGTAAAATTATTTTGCCTTATTTTTTTTTGTTTGCATGCATGTATCAGCAGTGTAGTATTTTTGGCTTGTTTAAATTTTTTACAATAAAGAAGCATATCAAGATTGCTTTGCTTTTTTGAATTTCGATATTATGAAATAAATAATTAGTTATCGGTTTTGATATTACGTTCGATTAAGTAATTCATGTTCATTTGTTTTCGACATTTAAAAGTCGCATTTAAACGTTTTATTCATGTGCGTAAGATACACTTGAATGCGTGCGCAGTATATTAAATGACTAATATAATTTTTACAAAATGAATTGCTATACAATTAATAACTATCCACACCTCTATGTAAACATTAAAAGTAAACTTAAAATTAAATGATCTGGGCATTACATATATCTGGTCCTTTTGTAGCAGGATGAATCCGATGTCTGCCGAGAATTTATTTTGGATTTTTTAATTTCTTGAACAACGTCAAACAACTATTATTTCAAATTTTAAATCAATGGCTGATAAACGAGAATCTGGTATTAAAAATTTTATTTCATTATTTTATTATAAATAATTATATTTATTATAATTAATATTTAATAATAATTAATTATTGATTAAAAATATAATATTAAATATAAATTTGAATTCAGTCTATTTTTTTAAAATTTAGATTTGTTTTAAAATTTTAATTTTATTGATTACAGTTCTATTCAGCAATTTAAAACTGAAACTGAAACTGATTTTTGAATTTCAATTTTGAATTTGTGATTTGATTGATTTTTTAAAATTTAAAATTCACAAGGTCGAATAAAAGATGTACAGGCCCGACGAGTTTTGGATGACGCAGCCCGTCGTCGTAGACAACGAAAAGCGCTGGATGCCTTAGAGGAGGACAACTTCCAGGAGGACCCACACGCTGACCTCAAAATGAACAAGAAAGCCCCCAAGTTCGAGGAGAAGAAGGAAACTAGTTTGTGTTATAATGTTATATTTACATATTGTTATATATATATATATATAGACATATATATATATGTATATGATGTATGATGTTTTTAGTTAGATTAGATCATGATATAGTTTGAAGATATGTGCAATCTTTCAAAAGTGTCCATTCAGTTGCTACTACTTTTTTAAATACTTTTTTGTTGACCCTTGTTATATATCTATTCGTATATTTATTCAATTATAAATTAAAAACGTCCTACCTCGGGGGAACTGAATGAAGATTGATTGATTATAAATTATAGCATTGTAATATTCTTCTAGATCAGCAAAGAGGCAAAAAAAGAAAATCCAAAAGTGATTTCTTCAAAATAAGATTCAGAAAAAATTTCACCACGTTGCTTGAGGAGGAGGTAGGAATCTATCACTCACTTGTTCGATACTATTTAATTGTGATCTATTTGCACGGGCTTTTGGGAAGTTGATTTATAAAGCGCTATATAAATGCTACTACTACTACTACTACTACCACTACCACTACCACCACCACCACCACCACCACCACTACTACTACTACTACTACTACTAATAATAATAATAATAATAGTAATAATATTAATATTGATAATGAATATGTGTTGCTATTCAATCTATAATTATGAATCATGTATTCTGTATAGTTATATATTATTTTTTGAAACCTATCACTCACTTAATAATATTTAATTGTGATCTATCCACACGGGCTTTTGGGAAATTGATTTATAAATCGCTATATAAATGCTGCTAATAATAATTAGAACATCCTTTTATTTTCTAACTCCAAATACCAAATATCAATAATGAAGTAATTATAAAATCCTATTAATCTAAAATGCTTGTCACTGCAAGTGAGTACATTTTAGAGGGGCTGGTTTAATTGATCAGTTGGGGTTCAATCATTTTTATTATTTTGGCGTTATAAATCAAATTATCATATTTTCAAACTATATCTTGATCTAATTTTGATAATAATAATAATAATATTAAAAATGATGATGGTGATGTGTTAATATTCAATCTATAATCCTGAATTATGTATTTTGTGCAGTCATTTTGCTTTGTCAACCTCTATAAGTCTGATTTGAGGTTGAATAGATAAATTCATAAGCATATAGTATTTTAAAAGTTTTAAGAATTGTACTCATTGTTTTTCATTTTAATTTATTTCAATTTATTTTTATTTCTTTTTAAATCTGGAAGCAGGCTACGGTTGGCAGGGATTGTTTAAATTATTTATCTGCAGCAGTTCCGCCGTCGAAATTACCCGAAAGGAAGTTTTGCTCTGTATGTGGATATCCTTTTTTTAAACTTCTAACTAGTCTGCTGTTGTTAACCATTTGTTGGTTGGTTTAATTGGTTGGTTGGTTGGTTGGTTGGTTGGTTTGATTGGTTGGTTGGTTGGTTGGTAATAATTTGTGGTTCGTTGTTGTCGTTTTTTCACCATTTATTCTCTAATTTTCACCATTTACTTTCTATAGTTTTTCATTCATTCATTTATTCATTCATTCATTCATTCATTCATTCATTCATTCATTCATTCATTCATTCATTCATTCATTCATTCATTCATTCATTCATTCATTCATTCATTCATTCATTCATTTCTTTCATTCATTCATTCATTTCTTTCATTCATTCATTCATTCATTCATTTCATTCATTCATTCATTCATTCATTCATTCATTCATTCATTCATTATCGTTTGTCATCTCATTACTTTTAAAATCCATTGTTCACCAGTGTCTCTTGTTGTTTTTAACTTTTGCTCATACTCCCAATTTAAATTGCTTATGGTTGGGTAGGTGCTAACTTTGCCATTTTAAATTTTTTGGTAATACGAGGTTGGTTTTAATTTAGAGAATATATCTAGAACGAGATGCGTATTTACTTAGCGAAGTCTATCCCATCTAACACATTTCCATCCAATTATACCTGCATTCAGTGCGGGCTGAGGTACTGCTGTGTTAAGTGTCTTTCCACCCATCAAGACACCAGGTATTCTTTTTTATTCTTTATCAATCATTTTGTTCATTCCCTTTTTCTTCTTAACTTTCGTCATTTTTTAAAGGCATGTATAATTTTGTTTTTATTTTAAAATATATTGCGGGGAACATTTTGCCTGGAATATTAAATTATTTTAATAATTCTTTTGATGTTTTTTAATTTTTGGTTCTTGCCTATTCATTTTGGTTTTTTGGGTGTTTCTATTAGCGCTTATGTAATAATCGCGATTTTGTGTAAAGATTCAACTGATTGTTAGAAACATTCATTAATGAGTGCAAAATATCTATGAGTTACTTGTAATAGTTGTTTTAATCGTTATGTTTAGTTGTATAATTTGATAAGCTTTTTTAAAATTGCACCTATTTAATAAAGGTTAGTGATTAGTTGGTGACAAGCAAGCAGTTTATAACGAAAATAAAATAACTGAAATAAAATTATCTAAAACATTTTTCTACGTCAGATGTTTGAAATGGATAGCCTGAGTGTCTGAAATTTTGCCTATCCTGTACATACCATCGCCATCACACATCATGATCCATGATTTATCAACGGGACAGTCTCGACTAGTTTTTCAAATTTTATTCTCAATTTTTTCTTCTATTAAAAATATATTGGAAAATTTCGTCTTTTTTTCTGTTGATTAACGTTAACTATGTCTAGTGAATGATACGACTGCTGTTGAGTTATTTAAATATAACTACTGGTTCATATATACAATATGTCAAACGTATGCCTTATTGAATTGTATCTTCCGTTGAAGATCGCGTCAAACAAATTTTCTGATAGTATGAAGGATAACCTTATGAAACTAACTTGAGCTATCACGCTGCAGTATTTTGAGGCTGTGCTTCGAATTCGTTTAGGTTATTATATTGTATGTAGATCAAACACACACGTTATACATATGTAGAACTGATATGTATGAATGTGTGATGTAGTTATTAAATTTTATTGTTCAAGTCGGTTACATTGTTTCCTTACCTGATACTAAAACTCTTGGTTTTTTTCATAGGTTTGGTAGTTTATGCCTCATTTTTGATTCTAGCATGTCTCTTCTGAGATTAATAGTGTTGCTAGAAGTTCTTACTTTCATCTACGTAGAATTAAACAAACTTTTACTTTTCCTTGATGATCCCATTCTTCTTGTTACTTCATTAGTTTTAACTTCGCAACTTCTTAATTTTACACTTCATTCTTTAAGTAAAGCTTTTAACTCTGCTGCTCGTCTCCTATATCTCCATATTTTTTTTCCTGCACTTGCTACCTATAAAATAAAGAATAATTTTTAAAATTTGCACATTCATGTACAAGTCTCAATTTAAATTATTTCTTAAGTAGTTATCAGTTATATTAATTGAACCTAAACGCCCCCTGTTTACGATTGTCTCCTCGCTCTCACTTCTTAACTCCTGTTAAACACTCCTATGCTAAATCTACGTTTGCTTATTCTGACTCTTTTCTCTGGAAGTCTCTACCTCCTTTTCTAACCACTTTTTCATTACTTTCATTAAATTCAGAGCGGATTTCAAGACCCATCTGTTTATAAAATTGATTAAGAAGCGCTGTCGAGCATCGCGGAAATGGTGCTTTAGAAATTAATTGATTGATTGATCGATCGATTGATTTTGTGCTTGTTCTTTTATGTAACCTAAGTGAAGCTATAAAAACATTTTTTCCACCTCCTGGCAAACTATTTTTATTTATAAAGGTACGCCATTTATTTCGTACTGAAAACTTAAAAATATATTCATTTTTTTAATGTTTAAATAAATACAAAGCTTAAGAAGTTATCCCAAGGAATAGCGCTAAAATTAATGTTCGCGTCTATGTTTCGACTTACATTCTACCTTAAAACTGCCTAATTAAATGCTTCTTCTAAACATTTTGTTTTTTGGTACTTTGATATGTCCATGCAACCTACAGATGGGTGGATGTTATTGGTGGTGGTCATTCAAGTTCTTTTTATAGTGTAATTTATGATAACCAACGTTTAATAGTCTAGATTACACCTCTACTTATGAAAATTTCTAGAAAGAACAAGACCGCACCATCAATTTTTATCTACCCATTGAACATTCTCGTGCCAATCCCTTCAAAACCTTCTTCCCTATTTTCGAAAGTTAATTCAAAGGTCAAGTGATGGTGAGAAGATTAAGCTGTGAAGTTTCCATCTACAAATCGCGTTACTCATTGCACCACAAGTTTCCAAGACATATTTTTTTATTAAAATACATTTTTGGTTACAAACCAAGGTTTGTTTTATGAAAATTAGCCAGAAGTTACTGACATGGATAGGCTGGGACATTTTAAATAGGAAAAAGTGGAAAAATTTTCACTCACTTCCTAAACTACTGTTGTAGAACAGCACTATAGGCCTACGAACGACGTCGACAAACTGACTTCGCGATTCTGATTTTAATTAAAATTGCCTTGGTGCCATATGAAAGTAATTTTATTTTTCAGTTTTAAACAACGCATAATTTATGACTAAAAATATTTTATTCAATAATTTAGTTACTGATTAACATCCAATTAGCAATTAAATGCATAGCAATAAGAAGGCTATTAGTTTTTAATCAATAAAAAGGATAAACATGTTTAACGATAGAGAAATGTATAGATAATTTAAATGTTGTAAAGCTAACAAATTCACAAATGTCAAGAGATAGAAAAATTGTTTTCATACTAAGCGCTAATACAGTATAAGCTATTTTAAGCACTACATGGTAATGAATAAATTATAAATTTTAATTTTGTTCATCACAATAACTCGTTCATGGATTTGGTTTGATCATCATCCTTATGTACGTAGCGCGGGTGTAAGCGTAGTCAAGATTTGAACCATAGACACTGTTCACGCGCTGATATTGGCAAGCGTTGAACCAATTCCCAGATGAAGTCATGGATGCACAGCTCCAGTTAGCAAGTAAATCGTTGTCTTGATCGGGAGTGGAAAAGTACATTCCGTTGTGACGATATTCAGGAACAGTACTGTTGAGAACATTGCACTTATCTCCACTGTATCCGGAAACGGTCAGCCTGTACTTCTCCATTTCCGATCCAATCTAAAGCGGTTTAATCGTTTGTAATAATTGTAAGATGTAGAATTTTGTTGATTTTTAAATTAGGATCTTAATGATCAAAATGCAACAAAATGTAACGTATTCAAAAAGACACAAATTTAAATTATTAAACTAAAATATTAAAATATTCTTTGGATAATTTTTAACATTTTATAATTTTTTGGTGAAATTATTCTTTCATTCAAACCTTAAAATGGTCATATTCATCCGAGGTCCAAACACCATTTATCAGGACCTCAAACCTCAACCTGAAATTCTGCCAATTGGTAAGCTGATAGATTTTTTCCAGACCCATCCAATAATTTTTGTTGTAATTTCCAAATCCCAACTGTGTTCAAGAATTAAAAATTTAAGAATGTCATTTATAAAAAACTTAAAATACTTTATAAGTAATCCAATTTTTATTGAAACTTAGCGAGCCATCAATCCTCTGCTGAATGACAATCCAGTCATTAACAGACGTAACAGGAGTTGAGTTAGCAAACGTTGGAATGGTCCTCCAAACGGTGTTGTTAGTAACGCTGTAAGCTGTTGTGCATTTCAATGAGATTATTTCAAATGCAGGATCAAAGAACAGTTGCTGAAATCAGTTAACCTCTACTTGGCTACCCTAATTTTCTGGTTAAATCTGATTAGTTTACTTCGAACGTAATGATTAATATTGCGATAAAAAAAAACAAATGTGCACAGCGGCGTAGAGAGATGGGGGCAGCTTTGGCAGTTCCCAGTGACGTCATTTGAAGTGGGCGCATTTTCAGGTTCTCGCAAAAGTAATTTCGTCATGAATTTTATTTAAAACTTTCGATCGACACCGTAAGTCAAAATAAAATAAAAGCGCGCTCACAATAAACTACAATTTTCAAAAGTTGAAATAATAGATTGCATTGGAAGGTTTTATGTAAAAAACATTGGGAAGGTTAGAAGTGTTTTGTAAAAGGGCGCAAATGAGGGATTTGTCAAGGGCACATTTTAAAACCTCTACGCCACTGAATATGCCTTAACTCGTTCCAGAAATACCTCGGGGATAAACACAGATGGACAACTGCCTCTTACCAGTGATACACATGTACAAACCACATGTATTGTTGATGCCAGGTAGTGAGTTGGAACAAGAGTAAAACAATTCACCGTTGAAGGTGAATGGAAAGTTGCAGGATTTGCTCACGGTCAGAAAAGATGTGCGTGCTTTGGAAAAAAATCCGTTGGCATAAAAAGTAATCAATTCAACTAAAAATTTTCAAAAAATATTTAAAAAACCGAAGTTACCAAAGTCAAAATCGTATAAATCGTAGACGGAAAAAATAATTAATTTGATTTAAACTTACAAATTGGCAGATTGAATGATTTAGCTGTTTGATAAATAAAAATTTAGAATTTCAATTAAATATTTCTATTTTGTTGAAATGAATAAATGAGCTTACATAAATTTTTCCTTGTTGCAGTATCCTATGATAAAAACAAAATTAAATAATCTTGATAAATTAAAAGGTACCTATGGCAAATCTCTAATTATTTATGAGAAACAAACCTCGTAAGCTCGACAACGGCTAACATTCAGAACAATCTTGTAATGAACATCGCATGAGAAGTTAAACAGTTGGCAATATTTAGCCGGATGACTAGAATTGTTGGATACGTAGTTGAATGCGTTGCAAGTGATGTTACCATCAGTGGGAGAAACATAATGAGAACATTTGATGGAGCAGTCTAGTAACGATCGTATATTGGTTAGTTCTGTGATAGGATCGGAAACAAAGCACATGGGGTTGTTTGGCTCTCCTATCAGACTATACTTTTTGTCAACTTCAGCAGCTAACGAGTTGACCCAAGATGACAACGAAAAGATAAATAATATAACTGGTATAAACCACATTTTGAAATTAATTTTACACAAATAATTTAAAAAATTTTGCGTTTCAATTTTCCTTGCAGCTTCACCCACCCGTAACAAATGTCCCTTCAGTTATATAGAACTCTTTCAGACACGCCCAAAAAAGTTTTGACCTCTAGGCGAGCTTCTTGCCTCGCATTCGATCAAATCATCCCTACATTATTACACTTTTAAATTATCTTTGAATGATAAATGGGTGTTAGCCAAGCAAAAACTCGTTGATTGACACTTGTCAACTTGCTCAGGAACTGTCAAAATGTTTCGAAGTTGGCTTTTACTTTTACATACAAAGTGGACTTTTTTTTAGTTTTGTTAAATGACCTCTTTCATTGAAATTATTTTTTCAGAAAGAAATATTTCATCAATAGGTATATATTGTTAATTCTCACAAGTTTTTATTCACAGCATGCCTGAGTCTCTTTAGTTTTTTAGATGTAATTTTTGTGTCATTTTCTTTTTCCATTTCCAAAACTGTTATCCATTTTTCTTTTATTTTTATCTGATATACATACACCATCCTTTTATCATTTCATTCATTCATTCATCCGTCTATCCATCCATCTACCTATCCATTTGTACATCTATCCATCCATCCTATTATTCGTCCATTCATCCATCCATTCATCTCTCTATCCATGTCTATCCATCTACTAATTCACGTGGTACATACAGACATAGAAACGAAAGAACAAGTACGAGACATTCATTTTTTAGTTGGAAAAAATTTCTTTTCATAAAATACGCCAACGTCTAAACAATGATGCATTTGAGATGCAATTATCAAACATTTCATTGTTAAGAATTCTTCGCGTTCTTTATGCATGCGTGTATTTATTATTCGCATAATTTTATTTATTATTACTCTAATATTATTATTGTCACTCTTTTCATGATGTTGGTGTTATAGTTAGTATTGATAATCAGTAGTAGCAGTAGTAGTTGTAGTGGTGGTAGCCTCTGCAGCAGCAGTAGTGGTAGTAGCTAACTTGAGACTCATCTGTTTGTAAATTTCATTAAGAAGCGCTGTTGAACATCGCGGTAATGGCGCTTTAAAAGCTAATTAATTGATTGCATGATTGAATAATTGATTGATTGATTAAATAAATGATTGACTGAATTACTGATTGATTAAATAACTGAATAAATAAATAACTGATTAATTGATTGAATAAGTGATTGATTGATTAATTGATTGATTAATTGAATGATTGATTGATTAATAAATCAACCACAAATTATGTGAGAAAAAAAATAATTCGCCCTTAGGTGTCTTTAAAAGTGAATTCAACTGATGGCTATGTTTACCTCTCGACGTATCACATGAAAATAACATTTACGCTCCGGACGACTGAACTGTTTTTAAATAAAAAAAAATTAAAATTTTTTTTTGAAAGATATTTTATGTGTACTGAAGTTAGTCAAAATAAAAGATGGCGGTCGTGAAGTTGGAGTTGAACGGTGAGATAAATAATTACGACGAGAATGTCGTGGCCGCTCAGGCTGTCCCCAGCGAAGATGGCGTTATCTGCATCTCGGATGACAAGTTCGTATCATGGCGTTAAATTTGTGTTTACGTTGTTCTGGGGATTTTTCCAGAAAGTTCATTTTTGTATAAATTTTCATTTTATGATGTTAGTTAAAAAAAAACTCTTAAGATTTTTAATTTAATTAATTAATTAATTATTAAATAATACTGTTGGACTTGCTAACTTAAAAATATACTTAAGTCTTAAAGACTTGAGTCTTAAATTAATATTAAATCTTTTTTTAACAATTTCTCTTGTCTTCTGTTAACTATAGCTTAGGGCTTACTTCTTGCTTAGATCTTAGTAACATCTTAGTCATTTCATCACTACTGTACTATTTTTTTGGTCTATTTAGTTAATTTTTTATTAGTTTTTAATTATTAGTTTTTTTTATTATTAATTAGTAAAGTATTTATTTAATTATTAATGTTTTTCTTTACCACAGAACGATAAAAGTGTGGATAAGAAGGAGTACTGGTCAGTACTGGCCAAGTATTTGCTACAATCTGCCTGGTTAGTTAGGAAATAACTTTAATAATAACTTTACAATGCAAGTTCATTTGATGACAACTGATGACTATATATGTATAGTTGATGATGGTGTTTCAAAAAGTTCTATGCCTATGACAAAATGAAAAATATAAATATATATATATATATATATATATATATATATATATATATATATATATATATATATATATATATATATATATATATATATATATATATTAATGCTACTTATTATTCACTAACTCATTCATTCATTTGCTTATTTACTTATTCATTTACTCATTCACTCATTTGTTTGTTCTTTTATTCACTCATTCATTTACTTGTTCACTTACTCATTCACTCATTCATTCACTAATTCATGCACCAGCTCGACCGAGCTGCATGTCCTTCAATGAAGACGATCTTCAGATTTTTGTTGGCCTAGAGAGTGGAGTTGTCATGGTTTGTTCGTTCGTTTGTGTGATGTCGTTCTTGTTGTTCACTTTGTTCAATTGTTCATCTCATTTTATCGGTTCACCCTATTTGACTTGTTTGTTTGTCTTATTCATTTACCTACATTTGTCGTTTATTTGGTGTCCTTGCTGATGTTTCTCATTTGTTTGTAATCTGCAAGTGGTTACTCATCTCCGACGTATGTTATTGTTGTAATTATTGCCATCAACTTTTCATATTCAGGAGTTTAAAGTGGCAGAAGACTACAACAAGTTGTCACATGTAAAGAATTATGCTGGTTTGTTGTTGTGTGTTTGTTGTGTGGTCGTTGTTGTTGTCTGTGTGGTCGTTGTTGTTGTCTGTATGGTCGATGCTGTTATTGTGATATGCTGAACTCCATCTTTACTCTCTTTTTTAAGAGTTCTAAATTTAACTGTTCTTTTAACTCTTTCCATCATCATCATCATCATTCTCATCAATCTCATCAATCTACACATATCAATCAGACACCTCCATTATCTCCACTAATTATTTATCCAGGTCACACAGCTAAGGTAACGTGCGTGACCTACATTTCGGCCAATCAGCAAATAGTTACCTGCAGTTCAGACAGGTGTGTCGTGTGTTTTTCATGCCAGTCGGGTACCATGCTGGCCGCTTACCAACACATCAGCTTCTGCACATCTCTACAGTTAGTGTCATTGTGATGTAGTTGTTAGTGATGTTATGAAGTGTTGTTGTTTGCCCTGTTGATGTATAGTTGTTGATAGTTAGTGTCATTGTGACGTTGTGATGTTGTTGTTTGTGATGCTATGAGGTATCGTTGTTAACAGTGTTGTGATAGGATTGCAAGGTGATTATGTTTAGAGGCATGGTAATGTTAGCTCTATCATCACATGCTTGACTCTGGTTAATATTTAAATTTTTCTGCATATTCAATCTCAAATCTTTTGAAATTCCTGGTTTTAGGCAATTTGAATATAAAATTTGAATTTTGGGGAATATTGTTTATTCGTGCTACATTTAAATTTAGGAGGTTATTACATTTTATTTTTCTTTGAATTCCTCATTGAATCCATTCAACATTTTATCTCATGCATTCATTAACTTATCCAATCACATTCATTCAGCTATCAAATTTGAACGAAGAATGATAGGTAAAATATCTCGTTAAGTTATTGCCACATACGCATGCACTGAAGCCCACACACACACACACACACACACACACACACACACATGCACAAACAAACTAGCGCGTGAAGAAACACTCACACAAATGTTTTATGATAGATACGACACGACACACACACACACACACACGGACACACACACACATACAGGGAAACACATACACACTAAATTTTACACACCACACACACATACACACATACATACAGATACGACAGACGTTCAAGTACAGTTCTCGTTGGTGACACCGCTGGAAACATTCTGGTTCTTCTCTGGAAAAACTCTAAGTCACTCAATAAGATTGCTATCTTCAAGAAACACGACGGTCTGTGTTTGTGTGGTTATGTGTGGCTAAGTGTGGCTTTGTGTGGTGATGTGTGGCTATGTGTGGTGATGTGTGGCTATGTGTAGTGATGTGTGGCTGTGTATGGTGTTTCGTTGCGTAGTGTTTTGCGTTTCTTTTAATAAATTTCGATAACCATTTTTATTTCGAAAATTTATAATAGAAAACAATTCCTTGTAGAAATGTTAATTGATTATAAAACTGTTCGAATTATATAGTATTTTTAAAATTTATGCTTTAAGTATAATTAGTTGCTTTAATATCATTATACAATCCTATTATTATATTATATAATTACATATAATTACATATAATCTTAATTTATAATTAAAAAAATATATATAAACGATCTTTGGATACCAGGCACCATAAACGAGTTGCTGTTGATGAGTGACGATCGCCGAAGTGTGCTTCTGTCAGCAGGGCAGGATGGATGCATCGGCGTTCATCAGCTGGACGACGAGGCCTTCAAGTCGTCTCTCAAGTTGACCGGACACAGGTTGGCCATGACGTCATCATGGTAGTGATGATGGTGGTGGTGGTGGTTGTGGTGGAGATGGTGACGGTGATGAAGAAGATGGTGATGATGATGATGATAAAAAGATTGTTGTGGTGACGAAAAAGATGGTGATGATGATTGATAGTGGAAAGGGTGATGGTGGTAGCGGTGATGGCGATGATTATGATGTTGGTGGTGGCCGTGGAGATGGTGATGACGATGATGAAGGTGGTGATGCTGATAACGATGTGTGACTTCGTCTTTTGTCATTTTTGAATGTGTGTAGTGATTGTGATTTTGCCTGCTTTGTTAATTTTTTTCTATTAGTAATTTCTTTCAGATTCCATGTGTTGTTGGTTTTTGTTTGTTCTGTTGTTGTTGAATGTTGTTGGAACACATCACGTACACCAAACCACACATGTGGTACTCTTACCACACACACACACACACACACACACACACACACACACACACACACTTTCACACACACACTCACGTACCATACACGCATCACACATGAAACGCCAACCACACACAGTACACACGCATGTGACGCCAACCACACACACACCACACACGCATGAAACGCCAACCACACACACCACACACACACCACACACGCATGAAACGCCAACCACACATACACCACACACGCATGAAACGCCAACCACACACACACCACACACGCGCCACGCACATGGAACGCCAACCACATCAACCTCTAATTTAGTGAGTCAGTTCTTTCCATGCATTACTGCGCAGACCATCATCGTTTGCTCTCCATTGGCAGTGATAAGTTGATTGCATCATGGGATCTCAAGACACACAGGAAGCCAGTACGTGGCGTGATGTGGTTGTCGTTCGCGTGGTTGTGGAGTTTGTGTGGTTGTGGTCGTTACAATTGTGGCTGTTGAAGTTGTGGCTGCTGTTGAAGTTGTGGCTGCTGTTGAAGTTGTGGCCATCGGTTGTTGTGGTTGTTGCTTCTTTAGTTGTGGTTGTTGCTGTTTTTAATATTCTTTTTGTGGTGAGTGGGTTTTTCATTTGTTGTTAACTTGTGTCTTGCAATGTTTGTAAATTTTCTTTATTTGGCAACTTTGTCAAATGAGAACAACACTTCTTGACTTTTTCCAAGTTCTGTCATTGTCTTTGTCATCATCTTCATCACCAGCATCTTCATTATCATCACCTTCACCACCATCATCATCATCTTCATCACTTTCACCATCATCATCGTCACCTTCATTATCATCATCATTATCATCATCAATCATCATCATCACCATCATCAATCATCATCACCACCACCTGCATATTAGCCAGGTGAATGGAGAGAGAGTGACGCCTGTGAGGTCTGTTCCACTCCATTCTACTGGAACTTCAAACTCATGATTGAGAAGAAGGTGCTCGGCGTTCGACAGGTGAGATGATGATGGGGAGGGTGAGATGATGATGGTGGTATTAGTGAGATGATGATGATGATGTTGGTATTAGTGAGATGATGATGGTGGTGGTGGCACTAACAACCAACCAACGAAACAACCAACCAACCACATAACCAACCACATAACCAACCAACCAACCAACCGACCAACGGACAGCACCACTGCAGACACTGTGGTAGGGCAGTGTGCATGAGTTGCTCCAACCAGACCATCCAGATACCCAACATGGGCTTTGAGCAACTCACTCGAGTCTGCCAGGCTTGTCATGAAACCGTTCTCAACGAAAAGTTCTACCTTGTTTTAATTTAATTTTTGCTTCATTGGATGTTACATTCTCGATGATGTTTGCCAAGAAATCCTGAGATTCTTATAGAAACTTAACATGAACTATTAATTTTCCATGTCCGTCTTGAAATAAATTTTTCTAATTTATTCATTAATTCCGTTCTCTTAATAATATTTAAAGGAATAAAAAATTAATTGAAACCGATCAAAATGGTTTGACAAATGACGACCCAGACAAAAGTCCCAGATGGTCTTTAGCGTTCTGCCCCTGGCCTGCAATTACGTACACTGTGATGAATCGAAAGAACTCATCGTCACCTCCTCTGGCAAGCTCGGCGTCATCCAGGTACAGTACATGTTATGGAAAAATAAATGAGGTAAAAGATGAATTTTTTTTTGTTACGGTCAGATTTGGAATGCGAAGAGCTTACTGATGATGGGGTCATCCCCGTCGTGATGAATGTCTAAGGGATCTGCCGGTCGTCATCTGCTGTGAACTAATGAGAGTCGTCCTGCTGCCGTTGCTGTTACTGTTGTTAATGTTATTTTTTATTAATTACAATTTCTACGTAACGTAAATAATAGTAATAAAAAGTAATCATAATATTATTATTTTTACTATACGAGTATATTAATTTGTAGAAATTGAACTATATAAATGTGATTGGTTGGCTGATTGAATGATTGGTTGATAATGAATTGTAAATAGTATATATATCTACATAATTCCATCTGACAATCGTAATCATAAACTTCTAACAGCAAAATATACTCTTGAAGATTTCACTTTTTTCAACTGTGCATTGTGTAAATGTATTTTTTGCGTTACATCATTTGCCTCACCGCTGAAGATTAATTCATTCATTCATCGTGTCACACCATGTGGTTATATCATTATGTATCAATCATTAATAACTGTAAAACATATTATATTGTATTATCATATAATATTTATACTGATCATAATATATTATTTTACCATATAATATTTATACTGATCGTAATATATTGTGTTATTATATATCTCTGTAATGTCAATCATTTATAGCGGTAATACAGATTTGGGACATCCTAAAAAACGACCATTTCTATGTCAAGTCAATTGATCACTTGATATTTCTTTGTAAAAAATATTTATATAAGTTAAGACTTTCTTTAATTAAGTAAGCTTTTCCGTGCGTGCCGATCCAGATCATTATGTTATTCTATGTTATGTTTATGTTTTTGCAGTCAAAACTTTTTAATTTTTTGTTAATTTTAAAGTAAGAGAAGCGGAATATCGTTATGTGCTTTTCTAATGTTCGATCTGATGAGGCAACCAGTTTTTCCATTAGCATCACGTCAGATGACATAATTATGCGTATACACAACACACACACACACACACACGTGCACATTTGTATACACATACAACTCATACATTTATATTAATATAATTTAGAAAAAGGTAATGTAAACGCTCTCACTTCTTGCCCACCATCCAGTTCAACTTCATTCAGGTAGAGCAGAACGCACCACGTCAGCTTCGATTGTCACGCCCCCAGCATTTCTTATGAATGTCATACTTTCATTCAGTGTCATACCTGGTTTCTTATATCCATGGTTTCAGTATGTCAGTCATTTGGTTGTAGATCAACAGGCGTCATTCGTGTGCGTCATTCTTATAAATTTGTTTTCCTCGTTTGGTGTTTGATCTTCAATGTCAGAATGTTCCAATCTTCGTTTTATATATTTGTTTCATTTATAAACTATGTCTCAAATGTGTGTGTAACATTGTGAAATGGCTGAGTATTTATCCCGTAATGAAGCTGTCCACCGAGCCATTTTAACTTTTCCATGCATCGTACAATCGTTTCTCAAAATTCATTCATTCATTTATTCGTTCGTTGCTCCGTGTATTAATCTTGCAATTTTTGTTAAAGTATTTTAAACATATAAGCTATTTATTGCATCGTTTTAAGCTTCAACGAATTCCTTTAAAATTTGATTTAAGCACTTAAAAAAAAAATTGTTAAATTTATGTGTCGTTATTGTGTCCATGGCAGATGATATGATATATTATTATTATATATACAATAATATTATATATATCCATGGATACTACATGCTGTCACATGTAACGTTCTGTGATAGTGTTGAATATTTAAATATCTTGAGTGGATTTTACGCCCAATGTATTTATGGTTTAATCATATATACAACAACAACAACAACACACGTTTAGACGGCATTTTCCCCGAGATCGGGGGTTGCCGTTTGGCTACCTATGATGAAACCGAAATACCCCTCGACTCCATCCACATCTGTCACTCGCCTCAGTATCACGCAACCCCGCTTTCACCCTGTCCTTCTCCACCTGCTCTCTCCATCCCAATCGCGGACGACCCCTTCCTACCACTCCTTCAACCTCGAACTCCAACGCTCGCCTAATCCCGACCCTTTCATCCCTTCTCAACACATGTCCATACCACCGCAATCTCGATCTCCTTATCAATGTCACAATGTCCTCATTCAGTCCCATCATTGACATCAGCTCTGTACTACTCCTCCTATCCTTCACTTTAACCCCACACATCATCCTCACCATAGCTCTTTCAGCCCTCTGCAGTACACTTTCCTCCTCTCTCCTCAACACCCAAGTTTCACCACCATATATCATCGCTGCTCTCACACATGCTTTATATACCCTCCCTTTCATCTTCACTGACCATTTCTTTCCACACAATACCCCACCCAGTTCCCTAAATTTCATCCATCCCACACGAACTCTAGCCGTAACTGCGCTCAAACATCCTCCATCCGCATTCAGCTTATCCCCTAAGTAAACAAAGCTTTCCACTCTTTCAATACCATCACTCAACCCCGTCCTTGCGTCCGTCCTATTAATCACACCATGAACACATTTCTTACATTTGAACGTGCCTTCCACCTTTTTCAGTGCCCCCCTCACACCACTACATCTCTTATGTACCCATTTCTGACATCCTATACACAATACCGAGTTAGCCTTCACTCTCCTATCACATACCCCACAGGGGTCTATTTTACTTATCACTCGTTCCCCACCTTCCCCACTCACCATTACCTTCGTCTTACCAATATTAACTTTTAACCCTTTCTTTTCAATAACACTTTTCCATCTGTCAAATTTTAACTGCAATTCTTCCATGCTATCAGCCATCAAGACTAAATCATCTGCATACAAAATCTCAAATAACATAATAGTTTAATCATATATGTAGGATAAATTGGTTAAATGGATTCAATTAATTAAATTAAATTAAATTCCGGAAATGTTTCGCCTTCCAGAATTCATCGAAATAACATGGCGCCAATGAATGTTTATTTTCTATTTAATTATTTTTATTTATAAATGACACTAAAATATGATTTCGTTTTTTCAAATTTATTTTAAAATGTAAAAATCAATTTCCTGCTGAAAAATTTTGTATTCATTCAAGTAAAAGCATTATTTAGTCATTAACAAACATTATTTTGAAATATTTTGTAAAATTGTTGGCAAGTATAAACACAACATACGTACCGCGTACGGCACTGGTATACGCGAGTACAATGTACATAAAATGCAATAAACTTGAAAGGCACTCTAGAATTTTCAATAATTTAGAATATGCGTAAAATACTTTGAACAAGCTAAAAAATAAAATAAAACATTCTCACGAAAAAGTAAACATTCCAATAGGTTTGAAATCAAAATAAATGACTAGAGACAACAAACTGAGGACAATAAGGTTTTTAAACACCCTAGAAAATTAATCTAAGTTAAATGATATATATCTCATTATAATTGTCCTATCTTATTATTAATGATGTACTATGATATCAACATTACCATTAACATTAATGATGTCGTCATGACGTCATTATAATTTCTATGAGGATTTGCGATCAGATCCTGGCATTCAAATGTTCTTCCTGAATATAGTGCCACAGACTGTAGCAACCTCTGAAGAGTACATAATCTTGAATGAATGGGGGCAGTGAGGTCAGACAACTCGTAAACTTCATGTTCATTCTTATCATCCTCCTCAGTGCAAGTCTACACAAGTGTTTCAGCGTGGGTGCGTGTGTGATGTACCTAAGTGACCAGTCCAAGTAAATGATGTTTGACTGAGTGTTCAGGTCATCATCATCAGCAGCAGCACTATTACCGTTGTTACTACTGGTATTATTACCATTATCAATTAATCTGTCATCTTCATCATAATCCTCCATTGATGCAATCTTTCAAATATTATTTCTTCAAGTTAAATATATCCATTTTAATTCGACAACATTCACATTTTCAAACAGAGGAACATCCAGAAAAACAGAGTAATAGAAATAATAATGAAAGATTACATAACTAGTTAACAGATCATGTTTTCAAATAATGTATAGACTGGAAGAATAAAAATCAGAAATTTGCAACAGAAATAGACAAGATACCAACCACAACTCTTTCCTTCAATTCATTTGAAAGCTCAACAACCTTCCACAATGGACCAGTCTGGCAGCCAGCAAGCAGCAGCATCATCACCTCAACATATAAATTTAATTTGAATGCAGTCTGCAAAGGAGTGGAACATGGGTGGTGACCATCGGGACAACAATTGTTGTTCAGTAATGAAACAAATGCTTTGAATCTTTTATTCTCAATCGAATATACAAGAGGACTTTTGTTGTCCTTGTCAGTTAAATTCAAATCTCCACCAACTTTTGATATAGCTTCAATACAAGCATCGTGTCCCTTCATGGCCAGATAATGCAAGGCCAACTTGCCGTAAATGTTGCTTATGTTAACATTGCAATTATAGGTGATGAGGCAGATAACAATGGCATCCAACCCTTCAATAGATGCAATGTGTAGTGGTGTGTTGCCAGACGAGTCCTGTAGATTGGCATCAGCCCCCGAGGCAAGAAGCAACTCTGCCCCTATCGCCCGGAAACTGGTCAGGTGAAGAGCAGTCTGACCCTGATTGTTTTGTGCGTTTATGCAGCAGCCTGTAAGAAGCTTCATTAAAGCCAAATTTGGCATCCTTTGGTGTGAAAGCAAAAGCAATGGAGTATTACCTTCGAAATCTTTCACAGACATGTTAGCACCAGCTTCCAACAATCTTTTTGAACATTCAAAATTATTAGATTTGACGGCAAAATGGAGGGCAATTTGACCGCTGTTCTCATTCCTTTTATCTACTTTACACCGACCATCTGACAAAAGTGCACTAATGATGTCTGCATGGCCATTCTCGGCACTCAACATCAGAGCAGTTTTGCCGGAAGAATTAGAAACGTTAAGGTCGAGATTATTGCAAGTAAGGAGACACTTCAAACATTCAACACCACCTGACTGTGCAGCACTGAAGAAACAAAAATTCAACTCTTTTCTGCTGTAGGAACCGCGATTATTTAAGACGGAATTTAATTTTATTACATCGCAATCCTTAATAGCTTGAATCATTTTTCGAAGTTTGTCAATAATACTTTATTTACAACATCTTCAATTGCTAAGATATGGAAACGAAACAACGTTACATTATCAGATAAAAATACCAAAAATGTTTTTAAAGCGTAAATTAACTTTTATACACACACCAAAGAATAAAAAAATTTAAATAAAATCTCTAGCCAGCAGGTTCAGATCCTGTAAAAATGTAAAAGAACGATTTTAGAGTAAACCATTTCAACCGAATTTTAAATTATGCACACACACATACAATCTTATACATACTTGACCCGTTTGTGCCCTGTTATCAGAAAATGATTGTGACAGTGACTGCACAGACTTCCTTAGCTTCAAGACCTCAATCTTCAAAATCTCAACCTCATCATTTTCTTTCCTCAATAATTCTTTCAAATTACTTTCGTGGTCTTCAAGAACTTTCATCTGATGAGCAGCAACGTCTTCATCTGGAACTCCTGTCGGTCTCCTTTGTTTAAATTCAATTGAAATATTTTCATTACACTACATTCAAATTAAGTATTTTCAAAAATATCAACAACTGTGACATCTTAATCAAAAACATTAACCTATTCAATTTAATATTTTTATCAATATATCATACGTTCGTGCAAGGTAGCAGAACTGAACTCTGAATGGAGACACAAGTAAAAATAGTTAGTCAGGAAAAATGACAGATTTGAAAAAGAGATGGTGTTTGTTTGCACCATGTTGTGTTCTAGTTAAAATACATTTAAATCTACACAAATGATTTTGTAGATGAAACGAAAATAAAGCAAGTCCAAGTAGATGATGTAGTATAGAGAAACATTCTACATCACAAAATTAAATCATAAAATTTCAAATTTTTATCTTAAAGTTATAATGCTAAAACAAAATTCTCACTGCAATGTTTATCTAACCAGCTTGTAAATTTCCTGTTCTGCTGCATGTCGTAGTCATCCAACTTGTTGAAGTTTTCAACAGCATTTTCTTCCACAAACAACAGATCCATCTCTTTCTAGAAATTAAAATTTTAAAAATTTTTGAAAAAAATTGCACAAAATCAATTATTTTAGTGAAAGTAATAAACAAACTGCATGAAAATTATTACACATTGAAATCATTTAAAACCTCAATCTCGGCCAGTGTTTGATTTTGAAAAGATTTCGTCAGGGATCGTATTTCCTTGCCATTCTTTGGAGCTAGCTCTAAACATTTCTTAATCAACAAATGCCTAGCAGTGTCAAATAAATTGAATAATATTTAAATGAACAATTTTATTTCAATATTGTAAATTTTTTGTAAATCTAATTTTAAGGTTTGATCATAAAATGTCTTACCAAAAGAGTGGAATACTATATCAGCACTAATGAGGTTTATTATAATATAATGGGAACAGTAACAAAGACTTTTTAGGTTACAGGTTACCGAATAAATTGCAAATGAGCAAATGAAAATAAATAAATTATCCTTAAAAAATTGTTCTAAACAAACACTTCTGCTTAACTAACTAACTGAATGATGATTATTATAAATTAATAATGGTGATGATTTTAATGGTGATGTTGTTAAGGATGACGTGATAATGATGATGTGAAGAGTTTCTAACTAGCCTAATACTAGTGACAACGGAAATGGCAGTCAAATTGATTGCATTTCTTGTTTTTGTGGCTCGTAAGCCATGTCCATCCAGCTGTTTGTTCTGTGTAGGTAGAGAAAAGAAAAGTAAGAGATTTTGTAATGAATCATTGAATGAATTATTAGTTACTACATTAGTTTTTTTATACAAAGCAAGAATCAAGGCAAGACCAGAAATCAAAAAAAGAAGACCAATGTTATTAAACTCTGTCAATTGTGATTTTTAAATTTATTTATTAATTTATATATTTACAATTCTTCAATCTGTCATTCAAAGAATAATTTATTAATAATATTATAATTATGTTAATAAATTATTCATTCTTAAATTTAAATCTTAATTTAATTTTTAAATTTTAATTTTAAATAGATAGGCAAATTATATAAAAATTATATACAAATTTACTTCAAATTTGCCATGGTTTTCTTTTATCTCGTCTGCTTTCTCCATAATTAATTGGTTTAGTAAAATTTTAAAAAATGTAAAAAAATGAAAATTAGACACCGAACACGCGAATTCTTCTTAACTTTTTTAAATCTAATTTTCTTGGCGCAAAAAACAAAATTGAATTCACTTTTAAAACGGACATGGGTCCAGTTGAGGTTTTAAGCTTGAGTGGCTGTTCCAAGGGGAGGCCTATTTACCAGCATACAACACCTTCTTATGGGTTGAAGCAGGGATATGCAAAGAACCTCAATTTTCTCAACTTTTAATTATTTTCAGTAATGTCTCCCCTTGCTCCAAACCACATAACTAGAATAATAGATCTATCGGTCGGGCTATTTGTCGTGCTTGGATTGTTGGCTTACGAAATTGCATGGATTTTAACGAGCAAGCTAAATGAAATATTTACTTGATTTAATATGCTTAAAACATTGTAGTAATTCTATTTAATTTTAATAATGATTAATAGAATTATGTATTATTAAATTATTTTTGTTAATTTGAATATAAAAATTGCTTTTGGTCCGGTGAAATTCGGTGGCTTACTAAGCGGAAGGTTGGCTTAGTAGGATTGAACTATAGTCACCCTTTTTTTTTACACTATTCGATCATGTTAAAAATTGGTTTGCTTATGAAATAGACGGCCTAAATAAATCAAAATTGTTATTTGAACAACTATCTTCATTATATTCAATTGAATATTTTACATTCTGCTGGTGCTCATAAGAAACTGGCTGCTGAAATCATACGTTGGCTTATAGCAGTGGCTTACAGGGTTTCATAGAACTCTTACGATAGCACTTTTTTTTACATATAATGCTTTAAATAAATTAATATATTCGTATCACAATTACTTTTGTCAGTATAAATATAGAAATTGCTTTTGTCAGGTGAAAAACAGTGGCTTACTAAAGCCGTAGGTTGGCTTAATCGGATTTTTTCTCATGTATACAATACTATGAGATAAATCAATCAAACAATCAAACAGTCAGTCCGTCGGTCGGTCAGCCAGCCAGCCAGCCAGTCTGTCAGTCAATCAATCAACCAACCGATCAATCAACCGATCAATCAATCAACTAAATTGAATGAACCAAATAAACAAAAGTAAAAACAAAAATAAATAAAAAAAATTTGCAAGGCCTGTTCAAACTCGAACAAACAGTTAACCGTACAGATCTACAAACAATTTCGAGATTTTAGTAAAGAAAGAAAAACACAGTAGTTGCTTTTATTTGAATTCATTCAAAAATGAAAAGTGACGGTTAATTAAAATTTTAAAATGTCAATTTTTTTTAAATTCGTATTTTAAATAAACAAATATAACAAAATATCGACCGATAAAAATAATTATCCATTATTATTATTATCATACACACTCCTTAGAAGTTCTCGAAGGATAATAAACCACGTAACATTAACATTTAGTAAGAACAGTTCACAACATATCATAATGACTAAATCAACATACTAAACAGAAATAATTTATACATGCATATATACAAAGTAAATCAAGAAATATCCAAAAATTATATAACCAATTTATAAATAACTAGAAACCAGTCAACATTAAGAATAAATAAATAGACAT